ATAGCATTAATTTTTTGGAAAGTGCAGGAGAGTCGTATAATTTTGTGTGAAGAAGTACGTTTAATCACCAAATTCATTATTTGTCAATTCTGTTTACAGTACGTCTGGTTGTTGAACGCCTATCGAGGCCTTGTCTGTGAATTACTGCAGCAATTTTTACTGCTGTTGTTTAACTAGTCGAAATTTATGCTTTTAATGTCTTTTCATGATTTCTCGTTTCTGGTTTGCCAATGCCAAAGTTTGATTTTTGGAATATTAGATTTAGTTTGTTTATAATGCATTTAGGCTTTATTACAAAGTTCATTTATTTACGAGTTCAATTGTTGGTATAACTTATTTGTTTATTAGTAGTAGTGATTTATTATTATTTATAATTTACTTCGCGAAAGAATGACTTCAGTCAAATACTTGTTTAAAATGCATCTCCTTTGGAAGACAGTTTGAAAAAGATGAAAAAGGTTTGTTTGCTTTGAATTTTTTGTTTCACTTTGTGTATTTGTTTACTCATCAATTTTTGAGATTTGTTTTGAGGAGGAGAGGGATGCGAATAAATCACCATTTTGAATGATTGTTTTATTTGATGAGATATTTTGTTTATTTTTATTTTGAATTATGCATTAAATTAGGAACGGGTTTTAAAATGATTTAGAAAATGTGGTATTTGTATGCATTTGTGTACTCTTTTTGAAAAGGTGGAATTATAGCGTTGTGATATCTGTGATAAAGATGTGTAGCGTCAATAATAATAATGGTAATATTAGTAAAAATGATAGTGAATATAATGGCGGTAATAATAATAATAATAATAATAATAATAACGATAACGATAATAATAATGAAAATAATAATGGTAATAATAATGAAAATAATAATAGTAATGATGAAAAAAATGGTAGTGATGATGAAAGTAATACTAATAATAACGGTAGTAATGGTAATAATGATGGTAATAATAGTAATAATAATAGTATAATGATAATAATAGGAACAATAATAATAATAATAGGGTATTAGTTATTGGTATTACTGTTATTATAATATCATTGATATAATAATAATAATAATAATAATAATAATAATAATAATGGTATTAGTTATTGGTATTACTGTTATTATAATATCATTGATAATAATAATAATAATAATAATAATAATAATAATAATAATCATGCTTCACTGCTGTTAACACGAATATCGACGAGTTTGCTTTGAAAAGTCGTTTGGAACTAGAGGGAACATTTGAAGGCAACAGTTGTCTAGCTACAAGTCTTCTTGAACCGGGTTATCGTTTTATTCATTAATTGAGTTTCATGTATCCTCCTTTGTTCGTAATACCTTTATTGGTTGAGTTCTGTGAACTAGTCCATGTTAGTGTTGTTGTTAGTCGTTACTACTCATTTTGTTTGTTTGTCTTTCCAACTTCTCCGCTTTCCATTTAATTATTTGTACAGTCTAATAAATCACTTTTCAGCAAGTAGCTTTAAAATTAGTCGAATTAGTTTTTACTATCCTTGAGATCATCTTTTTTTGGATGTGGTATGGCATTCTTATTTTGTAGTTTTTTTGCATTTGCGTTACCACTGCACTAGTCATTTTAGGCATTTGATATTGTCTTTGATAAGGTAGTCTTCACAAGCGCCTAACGTTGTAGGTTTTCTGAGGGCAATATTATATTAACGCTTATTTGTAGACTGAATTTTTCCTGAGACAAGTATAGATGGTTAAAAGAGTGTAGCAGTTAGTTTACCAATGAGGACAGTTGGAGCATAATGGAGGTTGAACAGGTTTTACGTTCAACGGGCTAGTTTGTGGTCGTTGAGTTTCGCTGCTGGTTTGGGTACTGTTCAAAATATTTTCTGTCTTGTTTAATTATTTATGTGTTTGTTCAAGTATTTTATCTGCGTATATGTTATTATTTTCTGAGTAGGTTGTTTTGGGGGTGGAAGTCAGTGGTATGCTAGTTTATTTGTAAAAAGGTGGTTGGATTTTACAGTAATTGGACAGTTTTCTGTTGGTAGCATTTTATTACTTCTGATTTTACTGATAAACGTTTGCTCGTTAACCATGAGGATTTAATGCGTGGGTGTCGAGTTCTCTGTTAATGGGTGCTGTACTTTTCCCTCTCTTCTGTTTAGTTTTTAGAGAAAAAGGTAAATTTATAATATAGATTTTTCAAGGTCTAATTTGGTAACACGGTGAAAAATGAGTATCAGTCGAAGGAAGTTTTAGACTCAGTAATTTTTTACACTGCTGTTTATTTATCACTTGCAGTGCTGGTGAGGACAGTGATTTGCCAGTTAAGAAATTCAACAAACGGAGGTGTTGCAGTGTAATTTTTCTGAACTGCTGAATTATTGGTTTGTCTGAGTGGTGGGTTATTAGCAGAATGAATACGTAATGAGTTTATAGTGTGAACTACGGTCTTTGGTGCTCTGAGTACTACGAAGTGTGACGTTTATACTTCCAAATTTTTGAGAAAAAATAGGAAAAAAACATAACTATATTTTATTGATGCCTGTGGTTTTTTAAATCATTGTCTTATTTGTTGAAAGTACCATTTTTATGGCGTACAAGTTTGGCTCAATGTACACTTCCAAAATCTCACACTTCATGCATGTTTGTCGGTGACATGTTACTTTAATGGAAAGCTCATATGACAAGCAGCAAAAAAAAAAAGGAGGATTGAACACAGTTTTTTTTGCGGTGCAGCAGCTGTAGTGTGTGCAGTTGTCTTTTCTGTATGAACAAGGTTGGTTTCATCCTTGGGTATTTATTTTTAATTTTACTAAATTTTAGAAGGGTTCCAGAAACGGTTTGAAAGTGTGGCATCGATTTGCTATCATTCTTTTAAAAACAAACATTAACAACAGTTTTTGTCATAACTAGCTTTAACTAAGACAAAATTAATTAGTGAATGAGGACATAGTTCTAAATACATGTGGTAACGAAGAAGAAAAATTGCAGGGAAAACACATTCGGAATTTTCAAATAGAGAAGTGAGAGAAACCATAAATTACTTTCTCATTTTTTG